CACACTCACACTCACACACACACACACACACACACACACACACACACAGAGGTGCCTTCAGGAGTCGTGATTGTCCTGTTTCCTCAACAAACTTTAATGCAACAACATTAAAGATCACAGTAAGGTCCAATTAGTTAATAACATTTATAGGAATAGTTCACCCAAAATTGAAAATTTTGAAATCACCCTCAGTCCATCCAAGATTAGGATGAGTTTGTTTCTTCATCAGGTTTGGAGAAATGTAGCACTGCATCAGTGTCTCAGCAATGGATGCTCTGCAGTGAATGGGTGCCGTCAGAATGAAAGTCAAAACAGCTGATAAAAACATCACAATAATCCACAAGTAATCCACAGCACTCCAGTCCCTCAGTTAACATCTGGAGAAGACAAAAGCTGAGACAAATCCAGCATTAAGACGTTTTTAACTAAAATACATTGAGTCCATAATCCATAATAATGCTTCCTCCAGTGAAAAAGTGTTCTGGTGTGAATCAGGAGAGAAATCTGCACAGATCAAAACAGCTGTTTAAACAGCTCTAAACAAATATGTAACTGGATTGTGATGTGAGAGACAACAGGAGATGCACTTTTTCACTGGAGGAAGAGTTATTATGGATTATGGACTCAATGTATTTTAGTTAAAAACGTCTTAATGCTGGATTTGTTTCAGCTTTTGTCTTCTCCAGATGTTAACTGATGGACTGGAGTGCTGTGGATTACTTGTGGATTATTGTGATGTTTTTATCAGCTCTCGTTCTGACGGCACCCATTCACTGCAGAGCATCCATTGCTGAGACACTGATGCAATGCTACATTTCTCCAAACCTGATGAAGAAACAAACTCATCTACATCTCTGATGGCCTGAGGGTGAGCACATTTAAAGCACATTCTCATTTCCGGGTGAACTATTCTTTTCACTAATGTAATTGTAAAGTAATACAGATTATTTTTCCTTGTACTAGACAAATTCAAACTCTCTCTGATTCTGGCGTTTTGTTCTTCTCTTTTGTCTCTCTTCATGTGATTTCCCGTCATTTGCTCAGTGATATCGTCGGATTCACGCAGTTGTCCAGCACTAGCACTCCTTACCAGGTGGTTGATTTCCTCAACAAACTCTACACCACCTTTGACGAGATCATCGACAACCATGATGTTTATAAAGTGGAAACCATCGGCGATGCTTGTATGTCGCTTAACAGTTTCATCACAACGTGTGGTTTATTGTCCATACAATGAAAGTCAAGGAGTCCAGAGATGTTTGACATAAGGGAGAATAAATGATTGTTTTTGGGTGAACTATCCTTTTAATGTATTTTTTCCCCAATCATTTAATAACCTCATTGGGCTAAATGTAAATAAATTTAATTTATTAGGGTTATTGTTTGCTCCCAGTTCAGATTTGTTGAATGCTACGAGTAATTCTGTTTTGTGTACAGTGTTATGTTAACATCATTCATATATTATTATAGTTTTTTAAATATATTTAGAATTTGGTTTTATTTTTATATTTTCTGTTTTAACTTTATTTTAGTTAAAGTTTTAGCAATTTTATTTTGTTTCTGTCATTTTTTAAATTCATTTTCTTGGTTACACTTTACAGTAAGGTTCCTTTAGTTAATGTTAGTTAGTTAACTAACATGAATGAACAATGAACAGTACATTTATTACAGTATTTATTCATCTTTGTTAATGAAAATACAGTCGTTCATTGTTAGTTCATGTTAGTTCACAGTGCATTAACTAATGTTAACAAGCACAACTTTTGATTTTAATAATGCATTAGTAAATGTTGAGATTACTAAATCACACACACACACTCGCACTCACTCACTCACACACACACACACACACACTCACTCACTCTCACACACACACACACACTCACACACACACTCACTCACTCACACACACACACACACACACTCACACTCACTCACTCACACACACACACACTCACTCACACACACACACACACACACTCACACTCACTCACTCACACACACACACACTCACTCACACACACACACACACACACTCACACTCACTCACTCACACACACACACACTCACTCACACACACACACACACACACACACACACCTCACACACTCACTCACTCACTCACACACACACACTCACTCACTCACTCACACACACACACTCACTCACTCACTCACACACACACACTCACTCACTCACTCACACACACACACTCACTCACTCACTCACACACACACACTCACTCACTCACTCACACACACACACTCACTCACTCACTCACACACACACACTCACACACTCACTCACACACACACACACACACTACTAATGAACCTAATTAAACTAATGAACCTTATTGTAAAGTGTTACAGTTTTCTTTAATGTCTATACATTTTTTTTTTTTTTAGCAATTTTTAATATTTTTTAAGTGAAAACAAATTGTTGTGTGTTTTTGATGTTTTTATTAATTGTTTTTTTTAATGTCTGTAGAAAATGTATTAATTTTTATTTATTAGTGTTAGTTTATTTAGGCAAGGCAAGGCAAGTTTATTTATATAGCACATTTCATGCACAATGGTAATTCAAAGTGCTTTACATAAAAGAAAATAGAATAATAATACAAGGTATTTAAAAACTTTGAATGCACAGCTATTTAATTTTAGTTATTTTAGTACTTCAGCTTAAAGTAAACGGAAATAAATGTTGCCTTGGCAACAAGCTGAACTAAACTTTTTTTGTTTTTTGTTTTATTTCAAGTAACAGAAATGTTTCCGATGGGTTTGTGTGATGCAGATATGGTTGTGTCCGGTGTACCGAGAGAGAACGGGATTCTCCACGCCTCTGAGATCGCCAGCATGGCTCTGGACCTGGTGTCTGTCTGCAAGACCTTCAGAATCCCCCACAGACCACAAACCCAGCTGCAGATCCGGGCTGGAATACATTCAGGTCCACATTAAACCTGCAGTCAGAGGCACTTTGAATATCTGAAGCCTGAGTCTAGAATCTAGAACCAATACAAATGTAGCCGTCTGGAGCATTTACATCTAACACACTAAATAAATGAGTTGCATATAACATTTCCAGCCAGTTCGGTTACACAGTTTTAACATTAACTAATAAATTGTCAGTCATACATAAATGCAACAGGTCAGATTTCTGTAATAGTACTAATAAACTCAATGTGTTTTAAACACACAATATTTATCATCAATAAATCCAATTGGTTTCAATCTCATTTTAACTAACTGAATGTTGCTTTCACAGCTAGCCATGTTTTAACCATGTTCATACTGTATAACCGAATACATGTAATTGATTTCATAATTCATGCAGATTCTAAGCAATTTGAATAAATGCATTTTTTTGCAGTAATTTGCTGATTATTAATAGTTAGTAAGGTAGTTGTTAGGGTTAGGTAGGAGGTCGGATTAAGGGATCTAAAATATGGTCATGCAGAGCAATACATTAATATGTGATTAATAAGTACTAATAAACAGCCAATATGCTAGTAATATGCATGATAATAAGCAGCTAGTTAATAGTGAGAACTAGTCCCTAAACTAAAGTATTACCATACACATTAAGTTTATTAGATTGTTTATGTTAATACTGTGTAATCCAATATTTTATGCAATTCAAATACATAAATCTTAAATTTAGGCCTACATATGTTTACATGCTGCAAGCCTTTAAATCAAAACAATGCATTTCTATGGGCCACTTTACACTGAAGACTAAAAATAAAAACTGAAATAAAATAAAATATAAAAAACTTAAAATTATTTTATTTTAGCTAGTTGTCAAAGGAGCATTTCTCATTTTTGTATAGTTTAACTTGTACAAAAACAACTAAAACTAAAATAAAAATTACCAAAAAAAACTATATAGACATATTTAATTAAAAAAACTGATAAAATGACAAAAAACACAAACAAAATTACTAAAACTTTAAACGAAAATGCAAAATATAAAATTAATTCTGAATATTAAAAAACTATAATAGTATCTCAATTATACTATTGAGAGTATCATCACTGAGTACTAAACTAAGCTCTCTTTCATGTCTAATTGCGCTTAAACCGTCAAAAATACATAAGTTACATAAACACAGTCGGTTATGTCTGAAGGTAAAGAAATCGCATGTTTTTATTAGATCTGTGTATGAAGTGACAGCAGCGTAATATACAGTACCTACCGCAGTTAATATGAGCCAAACAATAAATAAAAACAGAAAATCACTCACTGCTCTTGACTGAATAACTTCTGTAGCTTTAACAAGAGGACGTTTCTAACTTGAATGCTGCTTTCAAATGCTGTAGCGTGAAGATGTGTGTGTTTTCAGGTCCAGTCGTCGCAGGAGTTGTGGGAACTAAGATGCCGAGATACTGTCTGTTTGGAGACACGGTGAACACGGCGTCCCGAATGGAGTCCACCAGCGAAGGCAAGACTAACCTTTAAATGCTGTCTTGAATATATGTAGTTAAAGAAGTAGATTTAGTGCCGTGCATGATATGCACGTGAGGAACACTTACAAATTGCAAAAAGTTTGCATTTAAAAAAAAAGTCTAATGGTCTAAAACAAGCTTAAAGAGTGATGTCTGATGTGCTCATGTGCAGCGTTGAAGACCCAGTGCAGCTCCAGCGCGTTTTACCTGCTGGAGGAGATCGGCGGATACGTGCTCACCTGCAGAGGAGTCTTACAGGTTAAGGTGAGACGCATCAGCGCTTCTCAATGCATACGATTCACTGCATCATTTTACACACCTTTTCTAGTTACTGTAAAGCCTCGTACACACCGGGACGATTATCGCGCGCGCTTATCGCCGACGTTTTTCGACGCGTCTTTTGTGTTCATACCCAAGCGATTTTCGCAGGCGATGAGCCGAGTGAACATGCAAATTCACTCCCTGACATTAGATGGCGCTTAATGAAAATCCTATTTGATCTGCAATTCCTCTCCATAACAACTCCCTCTTATCGAGATTTTTGTAGTCGCTGTCGCGTTTGTCATAAAGCCCTTTGTGTTCAGACACCAATGAGACCAGCAGCTCTACATTCATCTTGCCTCGATGCATCTTCTTCGTCTACTTACATCCTCTTCGTCGTTAGGTATCAATGTGTGCTCGGCAAGACCGGTTTGTGCTTGAGCGCCACCAAGTCGTGTTTTACTGTAACTTCAGCAGCTCCAGGCATGTGAACAAAAGCGAAAATCTCATTGGTCGACCAGTTTTTAACGCGGCACGTCAAACCAAAAAAAACGAGCCCGAGGCGTTTTTTAAAAAATGACGCTTTTACGCCTCGCGTTTTGCACGTTGGTGTGAACACTCACATTAGGGCCTTTCGCACCGCGAGAACCTTTTCATAGTACCAGAACTAATTGTGGAACTACCCACTTTTTGGCGTTTTCGCACCGCCGGAACTGGGTGCGATTTTAGTACCGGACTGCCTTTTTCGAGAACCAAATTAGCTCCTACTCCGGAGCAGGGTCTAACCAGCACAACTGGTACTAATCGTGCCACGCACAAATGACGTCGCTGTCGACCGGCTTACGTCACTTCTTAGTACACACTCTCGGTGCGAATGCAACCCTTTAAATGGTACTGGGAAATAGTTCCCAGTACTTTAGTACTGTACATTTAGTTCTGGAACTAAAGCGGTGCGAAAGGCCCTATTGGCGCCCTTTGTTTAGTCACGAGGCGTTAAACGTCGGCGATAATCGCGCGCGATATTCGTCCCGGTGTGAACAAGCCTTAAGACTCGTGTCTTCAATTTCTGATCAATACCTGTCCTATTTTTTTCATTTTAATAAAATGCAAACATGTCTGATGGAATTATATTTTTTTGTTTAATGATGAATTATGCCAAAAATCTAATTAAAGCGTGTTTTTAGTTTTAGTAAGAATGCAGGGGTGTTTGATTTTTTTGCATTCTGGATCCGTACGGACCCAAAGAATCTTTATTGCATTAAACAGTCGTAACTTAATATTTTCAACTAAAACACACTGACTCGGATCAGCAACTTCTCATTAATGAGCGAATATGAACGTTTTGAATGTTATGTTATCATTGCATTTGCCCTTTTTTTATTAGTTAAAAAAATTTTGAAATTCTGATGTACATTAAATCTATACATACATACATACACACATATATATATATGATTGATATTAGTGAGACATTTTATTTAAATATATCACTGTGTGAAATTTATAAGAACATATAATCTGAGAATGATCAGTATTAACCCCATTGGGATGAATAGATTTTTAATGAAATTCCTTTGAATTTATAACTCATGATTGCTCCAAAACAGTCAAGATTTATGAAGCCTGCATATTTATTTCTAACAAAAAAAAAAATTTTAAATAAAAAATAACACATCCAAACAACATAAATGTTACTCTGAAAAGTTTTCAAATAAATTAATTTTACTTTCATAATTTTTTTTTAATGCTGCAATTGTTGGTCAATAGATGTACACATTCATGTTCATTCCCAAACAAAATTCATAAAACGTGTGTGAGTTATGGGAAAAAAGCTTTTGACACTATTATAACTGTTACAAAAAGTATGTTTGACACCTAATTGGACCCGAGTCAAAATGACCCGAACACGAACCATTAAATGGTTACATTTCTTAAAATATAATTGTACAAAATCTAAAAAAATAAATAAAACATTTGCAAAGGTTTGTTCCCTAACTATAAACTACATTTTTCAGAAATGTTTGTGTAGCCCTTCCTGGTCAAACCGGAGCTGAATGCTGACCGCTCTGAGGGTTAATCATGCTAAAACATTGCCAGAATAACCAAAAGAAATCACACCTGCTTTAGTTGCATGAGCGTCTGGACTGTGTTCTTGTGTGTTCTCTCAGGGTAAAGGTGACATGGTGACGTACTGGCTGGAAGGGAAGCGTGCTGCAGCTCCGGCTAAAGACGCGAGGGACCCCGAGACACACACTGACGATTACTCCAGTATCCCAGGAGTCCTCAGCGGCTCTGACAGCGCTGACCTGCTGTGTGACCCCTGACACGCACCTGTCTGTCCGTAGAGAGTCACAGGTGTGTGTTTATCACAGTGAAGCAGCTTTAGTTTAGCTGCTGCTCGTTTAGGATGACGTGTAACTTTAGCTGTACTTGTGTATTTCCTCTGTGTTTGATCAGTCACTGTTTGTAGCATCAGAATAACGGCAACCGAGCCAATGATAGTAAACACCGGAGTACTGATTATATAGATTTATTCATAAAAAATAAAAACAAATGCATTTAATGATGCTGATACGCCACTTATTTATTTTTGTTTAATTTAATTTTATGAAACTACGTTCTTTTAAAGAAATTAATGCTTTTGTTCATCAAGGATGCATTAAACTGATCAAATGTTACAAAAGATTTCTGTTTCAAATAAATGCTGCTCTTCTGAACTTTCTATTCATCTGTGAATCCTGAAAAATAAAATGCATCAGTTTCCACAGAAATATTGTGCAGCACAACTGTTTTCAACATGGATAATAATCAGAAATGTTTCTTGAGCAGCAAATCAGCATATTAGAATGATTTCTGAAGATCATGTGACACTGAAGACTGGAGTAATGATGCTGAAAATACAGCTGCGCATCACAGAAATAAATTACAGTTTAACAGATATTCACATAGAAAACAGCTGTTTTAGATTACAGTAATATTTCACTGTTTTTACAGTATTTTTGATCAAATAAATGCAGCCTCGGTGAGCAGAAGAGCCTTCTTTCAAAAACTAAAAATCTTATTGGCCCCTTTGAAAAGTAGTGCAAACACATAAAAATAAACATACTTAATGTTTCATTCTTGTCATTGACATAACAAATACACACTTAAAACATTGTATGTCTGCACACACACACACACA